TACGAACTGCGCAGTTGGGTGCGCAAGTATTGGTGCGGCATTAAGTCCACCTAGTGGTGAGACACCACCAGAGGGAGAGTCAGTCGATTGCCACCAGACACGCAGCAACAGGGTGTGATGGTTGAAGAAGGTCGGGTGTAAAGCCGCACCTGGACGCCCGGAAACTTGAAGGTGATGTTAGGATAGAGAGTCAGGTTGTTGGTAAGCTGTGTGAAGGTGGTGCGGTCGAAGCAGGTGTTGAAGATGTTGTCTCCGCGGCGCGAGTGCTCACAGATGCCGATGACACTGACAAATCGATGAACGAACGGGCAACGTGCACAAAGCGCGTCAGATCAAGTCCGTGAGCAAGGTCGGGCAGCACCAGGTTGGGGCGACTTACGTGCATTTGCCCGAGAGGAAGCCCTCTTTGAGCGCTTCAAAGATGTTCCTTGGCAGAACGAGCAAGGTCGTGCCACTGGTGGGCAGGGAGCGTGGGTCGGTCAGCTCGTGCCGGTATGCACGCCAGGTAATCAATGCGTCGCAGCTGCGTACCTGTCTACGATGACTTGACCCATGTCGGCAGGATCATATTTGATCGGTACGCCCGCGACGTCGACCTCCTTCAGGTCGACGACGTAGTAGCTCTCCTGCATGATCGGCGTCCAGTGCACATCATCGGGTCGAGCGCGGCCTGCACGAAAATGTGCACAGACAGCGATAAGTAAGGAGAGGTATCGTAGTTCAGATGATGCAACATTGATGAGAGCGTCAAAGAAGAACGATGGTGCGAGCCGTACCGGTGCCGCCGAGTGTGAGCTTGGCCACGCCCTTGTTCGGTGCGGGCAAGTCCAAGGCGAATACATCCGGCAGATTGAATGCCGAGACCATGCTGTCCCACAGCGGCGGTACACAGTTGGGCAAGCACTGTGGACGCGTAGTCGCGTGAGCCATCAACGAAACTAAAAAGAAGCGCAAGAATGGTGGAGGAAGTGGGGTACGGAGAGATCCGAGAAGTAGGAGAGGCCCAGAATGCCGTCCACTTGGTAGGTGGCGGAGAAGGTGCCGGCCGCCTCGTAGATGGCCCCGAACATGCCGTCAAACGTGCGATTGCCAAACGTCAGCTTCTCCTTGAGCAAGACACCTGCGCGGTGCGATCGATGCATGCATGAGATCACACGAAGAGGCACGAATGAAGGAGACACACTACGGGGTGCAGAAGGCAGTGTAGGCCGACATGCCGTTGATATAGGACGTGTCTTGGTACTGCGAATGGAAACCGCATTCGAAGGTGTCGCCATAGCACCGCATGGCCGTGCAGTGAAAGACGTCTGCACACGAGTAGCCGTGCGCTGTGGAGGAGTTGTTTCGCTTGTACCTGCGTCATCGAGTCGTCAGCCGGGTGGGGGTGCGATGTTCTTCGCGTCGTCCTCGCCGAAAGGAATCGCTGTGGAGGGTAGTAGGTAACGTACCGGTCCGCAGCATGGCCCGCACAGGTCGTGCAGCCCGCAGCCGGCACGGCAAACTGGTGATGTGATTAATTTAACAACAAACATGAAGACCCAAGGGTGGCCAAAGGTGTGGTCGGTACCAACGCGCTGCCCGTATCAACCTGCACTCCATCCAATCCGCCGATTAAAGTAAGGTCTTGGCTGGACCAAGAGGTCTCAACGTGTCAAAGAGAGCTGCTGTTGGTACCTGAACGTAGAAATGCTGCGGCGGGGTGCCCACGCCGATCACCGCATAGAACTCGGCGCCGTTGTCGCACAGGGGCACAGTGTCGTTGTGCACCTTGTACCCAGCACCATCCAACAGCGCACGGAACTTCCACCGGGCGTAGCAGTCGAGCGCCGTGTACGCTGTGGCCACCAGAACCACCAGCACAGGCACGAGTTTGTTTTATTCCAATAAAAACGATAAAATGAAAAGTGCCACCAAAACGAACCCAGGAACGTACTCTGCGAGATGGGAGCCAGCTTTGGTGTGGGCTCGGCTTGCCTCGCGATCGGCTGTTGGAGCGCAAGAGCAGCAGCGGCAGAGGCCGTGTAGGGGTGAGGGTTTTGCAGACTTCGCTTCGGTCGATGTTCCAGCGTCAGCTCGATGGGAGCATTTTGATAAACGAAATCGAATCCGAGATTTCCATCAGCCGACTGTTGTTGGGCCGAGGTGGCCGTCAAAAGGATAGCCAGCACCACCGCCCCTGCAAGGACGCCACTTGCAGGCGGAGATAGAAACGAGGGGGAAGCAGGCTTGCGCCCCATCTTCTCTTCTTGTTGTAACCAAGGGCTCTCGGCCCAAGCTTCTTTCTTTCGTCTACTAACGTCGACAGAAAATACGCGTTGTACTTTCTCTTCACGCTTCTTCCTCTTCGTCGTCGCCTTCGGTGAGCTCCTTCTCCATGATCTTGACTCGCGTGAGTACCTGCTTGGCGGCCTCCTTGTTGCCGCTCTTGACAAGCAGCTGGGCGATGGCGCGCTCCTCCTTGATCTTCTGCTCGAGACGCTGGACGTAGACCTCCATCGTCAGCAGGCCGGTCTCCACCTGGATCTGGAGCATGTTGATCTTGAGCTGGATCTGCTGCTTCCTGTCGAGCAGGTCTTCGTTCTTGGGCGACTGCTTGAGCGCCAGGTCGGTGCGTCGCAGCTCCTCCTCGAGCACGTTGTTGCTGATCATGTTGTCCACGCTGCGGATCCAACACCCATCATTAATACGACGCACGGACGGTATGCGAAGAGGAGGGTCTTAAAGAACCTGTCCGGCTCGTAGGAGTCGAGGTTGAAAGGCGGCGCTCCCGCCTGTGGGGAAGCGGGCGCTGGCTTGGGCGCTGGCTTGGGTGGTGGAGTCGAGGGAACGGGACTCTTGGGGGCAGCAGCTGTGGGGCCAGCGGTGACGGCCGGCTGAGGAGTAGAGGGAGGAGAAGCGGGAAGGGTGGGCGAGCGGGACTCGGGCTGGGCCGGCTGCGTGGTCGCGGGTACTGGCGCAGGTGCGGCCACCACTGGGCCGGGCGCCGTGGGATCGAGCACGAGAACCTTCTCCTCGCGCACACGGACATCCTTGCCCTGTAGCGGTGTTCGGAGACGCAGGCACACTTCGAGCTTGCCTCCCGTTGCTGTCACGACAGAACAATGCCACTTGTTAACACGACAAGAGACCAGACGGGGAAAAAAGATGAAGAAGGGAGAGAACCCTTGCGGCTGGTGGGCTTCAGGATGTCGACGAGTTCGGTGACTTCACATTTGTTGATGAGGCCCTCGAGCGAGAGTTCGCCCTTCCCCAGTAGGACGTCTCGGCCCAGCAGCTTGCGGTGATAGATCTCGAACGTGATGGGTCGCTTGCGTTCACACAATCGAAGGAGAGACTTCTTTCGTTCGATCTCGAGCTTGCCCACAAAGTTGTACACTGGCCCACGTACATGCGAGATGGTGTGTGCGATGTGAGATGCGCCCATGACAGACAAAAAGGAGATAGAAGTACCAGGATCGAGAGATTTGGTCACGGACGAAGACTTGATAACCTGCGGCGTTTCGGCCTTGGGATAGGGGAAGGTGATGTAGACATAGGATTCCACGGTGGCGATTTCCTTGGGGACGGGCAGGTGCAGGCACCTCACGACGCCGACTTCCATCTCGTAGTCGCGCAAATGCGAGAAGACCAGCTCCTCTTGCGTTTGCTTTACCTCGTAGCGATGCCTGTGTACGGTGGCGTGCGTGAGCAACAACGTCTTGATTCCCCGCGCGTCAGACAGCTTCGAATCCCAACGTACCTTGGCAGAGGCTGTCCTGACTCCCTGGCAGCAATGATCACCTTCAAATCCTCCATCATTTCCTTTTGGCGTCTGTACATGTCCACCGCTTTTTGCTTGTCCTCTCGCAGGGGAGAGTCCTTGAGCTTCTGCTCGATGGGCAGGGGAGAGGTGAGCTAGAAGAAAGCCAACTTCAGGTTGGAGAAAGAGATGTGGCCACGAACCTTGGCCTGTTCGTGCACGGCCTTGATCTGGGCCGTAAATTCGTTCTCCAGCTTGGCAAAGGCGGCCAACCTCTGCTGCTCGACTTCGTCCAACCGGGGAACGATCACTACGAACGGTTCTGGCGGCACCTTAGACAGATCTGAGTCATAGATGAGAAGGGAGAACAAGACTGGCCGCGCCTCAAACACACGAGGCAATGGAACAAAGCCGAGTACCGATAGGCTTTCCCTGCTGGATCGCTTGGCTGAGCTCGTTGATCGTCTTGATGGCAGCAAGCGTCACCTTGGCCTGACCAGTGTCGCCCGCCTCCTTGTACTGAGCGTAGGCTGCCTTGTATTGCTCGAACCGCTGCTTGAGCATTTCCATTTGCGCCGCCTACAAGCAGAGTCGACTTAGTAGCGAGCGATAGCTTGCGCAATAGGCAGGCGGCAGCATTCATGTTCGTACGCACAAACCTTTTTGTCTTCGACTCGCGGCACGACCGCAGCGGGCTGTGAGGTAGGCGGGGGCCTGACTACCGGTTGATTCTGTGCGGCGACTACGGGCGTTGCCTGACGCTGCGACGGCGCACTGGGTGTTCTCGGTGGCGCGGCGGCAGGTGGGACAGCGGCTGGAGCAGCGCCCAGTGCCGTCTGCGAACTTGCCCTTGAGAAAGAACAAGAATGAGCCTTTCGAGAAGCAGTTGTGTAAGCGTTGTGGACGGGCGCATGCACCTGGTTGGTTTTCCTGAAGCCTCGGCTTCCAGGCGAACAAGATCATTACCGTCGTTGCCGCCCGCTTCCTTGAGCTTGGCAACACGCGCCTGCAGGTCCCTCACGGTAAGCAGCACTTCCTGTGCCTGTAAGAGCCGATCAGTATTGCTACCGCGCTGAGACAAGCTGTGCCATCTGTTGGGCGCAAGACGTGGCGCCAGAGACTTACCTCTTCGGTACGGCCGGCCCTCTTCAAGCTGAGGCACTTCTGCGTCTCTGCAGTGAGCTTGCTCTGCAGGGAGGCAAGGTTTCACCGCTTCGTGGCTTGTCTTCGTCAAGGTCCTCCAGCTCGGCTAAGAGAGATGGGTCGTTGAGGTCGTCTTCGGTTATTTCCACTTCAACATCGTCTTCGACGTGCAGCCCTGACGCCAATCGCATGGCGGCTGCACGAGAGAGGTGCAGCGAGTCAGCTAATGCAACCGGAGCCACGGTGAAAGATGTGAGGAACGTAGCAACCATCAACGGCCTTGTGGTCCATGTCGGCAGGTTGCAGAGCCTTGGCATGAGCCTCAATACTCATAACTCCATCTTCGTCATAATCTTCATCTTCTACGTTTGGGTCCTCGAAGAGTGCAGGATCAATGCCCATCGCCTGCAGGTCAGCAGCCTTGCCTTTTTGCCACGGGGCGGACTCGGTGACCTCTTCTTTGGCGCAGACGACCCCCACCCAAACCACGACATCTTCGCTTCTTAGCTCTACTACGTGTTGATCTTGAAGAACCTGATGCTGATCGCCAAAGGCAACACGCCTGCAGAGAAAAGGCGGGAAGCGAAAGAAAAACTTGCTGGTCGAACCAATCAAGAATCATAAAAACTAAATCGAAATCTCGTTGTCTCGAAATCAAATACCCAACAATTTTTTACTTTCATTCTTTCTTTCCTCTTCTTCCTCTCACATCGACGTCCCGTCGCGGTTCTCTCCTAAGTCGATACAATGGTACGTGAGATCTGTCCCTCCTGGCCTGCTATGGGGTCGGTCTATGGCCGTGCTTGAGGGGAGGCTTTGCCCAGTGGTGGATCGCCGTACCGAACCATCTTCCGGATCGCCAATTGTAACTCTCTTCTATCTTTCTCATTACAGGGTAAGGGTACGGCATCTTTCGGTAAGAGGCACACCAAGTCGCACACTCTGTGCCGTCGCTGTGGCAGGAGGTCCTACCACATCCAGAAGGCCCGCTGCGCTTCGTGCGGTTACCCCGCCGCCAGGCTCAGGAAGTGTACGCTTTCCTACCTCCCGTGATTCCAGACTCATCTGCAGACCAATTCAAATCATTTGATCTCGAACTGACAATGGTCATTTCCCCACAACAGACAACTGGTCGAACAAGGCCCTCAGGAGGAGGACGACTGGTTCTGGCCGCATGCGCCACCTTAAGGACATGCCCAGGAGGTTCAAGAATGGTTTCCGTGAGGGTACGCCATCGCCATCCTCCTAATTACCCAGATTCTGGAGTTCTACTTCGTCCACCGTTCTAATTACCACTCTTGCCGCCCACAGGTACTCAGGCCAAGAAGGTCAAGTCCGCCCCCGCTGCCCAGTAAATCAGCCGTGAACAATAAACCTCTCTCTATTTACCCCGATCTTCTCCTCTCTACCCTCATGGGCCAGGTTTCTTCTCATTGCCCGATAGTGCGAGAAGCATGGGTGGATTGATGTGTGATTTGATGGTTGGAGAAAGCAAGACAAATGTTGGATGAAGGGGAAAGAGCGAAAGAAGTGCGAGAAGCTTCACGAGCACTTGGAGTAATCGAAGCCGCAAATGAACGAGGAGATGAGCCACACGATGATCTGTGCCCCACGCGAGAGAACACCATCAGTGCTGCACGTGCAGGAGCTCACGGAAACGAAGAGAAAAAGCCAGAACAGCGAAGTGGCCGGGAAAGAGAGAAGCGGCGTACGATGACGACGATAACAAGAATGGCCCAGAGCTTGTAGTTGTCTCTGCACATGCTCCACTTGAGCCTCCTGCTCTCGGTGGAAAACCGGTAGGACTGATCCTGCAGCTGCTCTGTCCTCGTCACCAGAAGCTCTATCTTCTCGCCACGGTCCAGCACTCTCTCTGATGCATCCGCCACGGGCGACCGTGAGTTCATCATCTCGCAACGCGTGGTGCAGCACGACACACCGTGCCACGCTCCATCGAGAGCCATCACGTAGCGCATTGAGGAGGGAGAAGAAGACAATGAGGGACGAGAAGGAGCAGTGTACCGATGTTCTCCACCATGACCTTCTTGGTCTCGTCCACCTTCTTCTGGACAAGAGAGATCTTGTCCACGCTGGGGTCGTACGAGAAGTATTCCTACAATGAAGGCGGGAGTCAGTCGCTTGTCCAAACGCCAACGGCACAGCCATGGGTTGTTACCATCTGCCTCTGGAGGACGCGCGAGAACTCTTCATTCATGCCAAAGGCCATGGCGGTCTTGTACGTGTTCCTGTACATGGACATGAAACGCGTCTTGATGTCGTCCAGGAAGGCGAAAGCGATTCGCCTGGGGAATTGCTCGTCCGACATGCACAGGTAAATCACGCCCTCGCTCGCCGCGTAGTGGAAGTAGTGCCTGTGCACAGTGATGATTCGACAAAATGGAAAAATCAGCAAATGAGAGGGGGGGGGGAAGTATGCGCGAAGAGGAAGAGGGGGGAGAGGGAGGTGGACCACAATACCTGTCGTAGGTGTACGACATCTTGCCGCCCGACGTATCAGCGATTTTATCTAGGATGAGACGACTCACCGTGATGAAGTTGCCCGTCGCGGCAGCATGTTCCGCCAGCACGGTCGAACCCCGCGCGACCAGAGAATAGATGATGGGCATTCTTATGAAGCTTCTTCTTTTCCTTCTTCCACAATAACAACAATAAATGCTCAACGCGCAAGGCGAACGAGAATCTCTTCCCCCCCCCCCGCACGAACAGGAAGCGGGCAACGAAAAGTTGTTTGGGACCACCGAAAAAAGTTGTTTGAACAAGACGCAGAAGCAACAACACCCTTGACCCAACTTGAGGGGAGAGGAGGTGGCCGAGGAGGACACAGGTGACCGAGAGCGTTTATACGAGTATATAATCCAGTATGCGAACTGGTGTAACACACTGGCGAGAAGGCGCCACACACACACACATGTGGACAGGCCGCGGTCGCTGATGGCACGACGTGAGGGCCTCATCGCCAGAAAGAGACACTGCCGGCGGTGAGAGAGAGCCACCGACGTCGGATCGAAAGCAAACTCTAAGTTCGCTCCTTGAAAGGAGGAGGGAACCCGCCGCACGACGGAGAGGAAGGGGAAGGAATGCGGAGGCGGTGGTGGTGGTGATGGTGATGGGAGGAGGCGTGGAGTGGGGGAACGAAGGTAGAGAGAAAGAGAGAGGATCCGAAGGTCGACTGGTTAGGCCTTGGTCTTCTTCTCCTCCTTCTTGGTCTTCTTCTTCTTTTCGCCGTCCTTGGACTTAGCAGCGGCGTCCTTCTTCTTCTTCTTCTCGCCGTCCTTGCCGTCGGCCTTCTTCTTTCCGCCGTCGCTCTTTTCCGTCTTCTTGCCCTTCTTGTCCTCGTCCTCCGCGGCCTCCTTGCCCTTGGTCTCCTTCGCCACGCCGGCCTCTTCCTCATCGGCGGCTTCGCCGTGGAGGGCAACGCGGCCGGCCTTGAGCTCCTTGGCGATGCTGGCGACGTGCTTGCCCTGGAACCTGGCGCAGGCCTTCTCGTTGGCGCTGACGGCGCGCGAGCCATCGCTGCCGGCGATGAAGGTGGCGCCGTAGGGGGAACCGCCGCTGACCTCGTTGATCTCCTTCTGCTCCTTGCACGAGTAGGGCAGGCCGACGTAGAGGAAGCCCAGGTGGAGGAGGGGCGCGAGCATGCTCATGATGGTGGTCTCGTTGCCGCCGTGCTGCGTGCCGGAGCCGGTGAAGCAGCTGGCAATCTTGCCCACGCACGCGTTCTCGAACCAGAGGCCGCCGAGACCGTCGAAAAACATCTTCATCTGGGCCGTCATCGAACCGAATCGGGTGGGCGAACCGAAGACGATGGCATCGGCCGACTTATCACCTGCTTGCGGATTTCGGGGGTGATGGTGGGGATGTCCTTCATGGCATCCTTGGGCTGAGCGGCTCTGTTGAGTCAAAGAAAGCAGCGAAGAAGCATGAGCCACCATTGATTTAAATTGAAGAGCCTAACATAGCGGTGCGAGAATTCTCAAGGCGAGACATGAGAAAAAAAAGAATCAACCAATTTAATCAAACAAATGATTACCGAACGGGGGCGAAAGAAATCCTCAATTTTGACACTGAAATTGGCACTGAAATGGGAGGTAAACGTACCCCATCTTGCCAATGACGTCGTCTGGAAGAAGCTCAGGTACTTGATACATCTCGACCTCTACGCCGTCGACCTCCTTGGCGCCCTCGGCGATGGCCTGAGCCAGCTGCCACGTGTGCGTGTACAGCGAGTAGAAGATCACCACAACCTTCGTCTTTACCTGCGTCGACATCTTCTTTCCTTCAACACAGCACCAAACCGATTTGTTCGATGATGATGACCAACAAGGGACCCGCAACAGGCCGCAGCTTTTTGCGCTGCCTCTGATTCTTGGCTGGCGACCGAATTGTCTGATTTGTGGTTGGTAGACGGCTCGGCTGTGAATTTGTGTGGAACAATTAAAAAATAAATAGCCTTTGTACACGACGATGGTGACCGACACCACCTTCACTATCTCTCGATCGATCCACACGTATGTCTCTCAGCCGTTGCTGGTCTCGGCCATCCAGTAGCTGTTGAAGCAGCTGTTGGAGTTGGTCTCCTCGAGCAGAGAGTCCAGGGAGACGTTGACGCTGCTGGTGGGCGGTTTGGCCGCGGGCTCGGGGTGCGTCGGCGACAGAGCCGACGACGACGTGGTCGGCAGCAGCGGCATCGACCCGCCAAACGAGAGCTTCTTACGTTTGTTACCGGTCGCCGTCGCCAGCCCGAAGAGGCCATCGCCGTCCTCGCTGTCCTCCCGGCCCGACGCCACCATGTCGGAGAGCCGCCGCTTGTTGCTGCCGCTGATGCCGCCACCGCCGCTGGTCATCATGATTCCGCTCGGCGCCGGGCTGTCGAGAATGGAGAACGAGGAGAAGTCGAGCCTGCGGCGGATGGGCGACGAGTCCTCCTCGAGACGCGCCGACTTGAAGAACTTGGCGAAGCCGCTGTCCTCGTCGTGGACGTCGTGCGACGCGGCGTCAAACTCCTTGTAGAACTCGCGGCACTCCTTCTCGTCGTTCTCGGCTGCCTGGAAGCCGTCCTGGCTGGGCTCGTTGAAGAAGGACAGGGAGAGGATGTTGGGCGTGTCGGGGACCTTGAACTTGGGCGACACACCCGAGGGCGACAGGAGGCCAAAGTTGTTGGAGGGCGAGGTCGCCAAGAAGCCCGGCGACTTGGTGGGCGTGAGGGCGAAGAACCGCGAGGGCGAGGTGGGGGACTGTGCAGAGAACGAGGGAGAGCGAGGCCGGGGGATGATGGGCGAGAGGAGAGGCGCGGGGAGCGAGACCAGGGGCGGAGGCGGCTCGATCTCCCGCGTCTCCTTCTTCAGGAGCGGCGAAGCCGGGGTGATGCGGGTCTCCAATCGCGCGTGGTTGCTGTGGCTGGGCGGTTGGGAGGAGTTGGAAGAGGCAGAGGCCGCGGTGGTGGTGCTGGTAGTGGTAGTGGCGGCGGCGTTGCGCTCATCGTTGATGTTCTCCTTCTCCTCGAGCCAGCTGTAGAGCAGTTGCATCACGCCGTTGCACGAAAGTAGCTGGTAGATGCTTGCCGAAGTCACATCGTCGCTCTCGACACCCCAGCTGTAGTGGTCCTGCGGCGGCACCGCGTACAGGCGAATGGGACCCGTTGCGAGTGGCACCTGTGGACAGCGCCTCATTCAACAGTCAGCATGGGATCACCGCCCGCACAGAGAGGTGCGTGTGCGGTCACACTCGAGTGCAGTGAGACAGGGAAGACTGCGCACCTCTGTGCCGTTCACTTCGCGGGTCCATTTCTTCATCATGTGATTGATGATGTACGAGATCGGCTTCTTCGACGAGTAGGTGAGCTGGAGCAGGGGATTGTAGCCGGCCGTGGCGATCTGATTCGACACCTTCGTGTTCTTGGGGATCAGCTGCAGCGTAATCCGCTTGGGCGGCGAGCTGGGCACGGACACCGTCGACGTTGTGCTGGTGGTCGTGGCGGCGACCGTCTCCGGCGAAGAGGGCAGCGGCGTTGGCGGGTGGACGAGTGGCAGCGCGGGCGCCGACACTGCCTTGACCAGCAGGCGAGTATTGCCGATCTGCTGGATGACGCTGTTGAGACGTTCGACGTGGGTCTTGGGGAGCAGGGTCTTGTGTCGCTGGGCGGGCTCCGGGATGGGTGGGTATTTGCTGGGCGTGGTGGCGCGCGTCTGCAGGAACTCGAGGAGGGCCGCGGCGAGCTTGTTGGCCTCCTCGCCGCCAGGCACGGGGGCGCCGGTGAGCTTGCCCTTGGGCTTGAAGAACTCGTACCAGAAGAGGATCGATTCCCTCACCTCGTCCTTGTCCGACTTGTTCACCCCCCGCCCGAGGCTCTCAAGGAGCGCGTTCATCTTCTTGATCAGGCGGTAGTAGAAGTGTCGAACCTACCTCGATTGGGTTAGAAGGTTTGAGGGCGGGTGGTACGACAAAGAGGCGCAGATGGCGGGGGGGGGCACCTGATCATAGCTCTTAGAGCCAATGTGATTGCTTAGTCGCTGGAAATCACGACCGAACACCTTGATGCCCTCAAAGAACCGTTCTGCTTCTTCCTCATTCCATCCGGTGTATGCCCTTGTCTTTTTGTTGTTTTTGCCATCAACAGCGCCCGTGCCTATGCATGAAGCGCATAGGCATCAGAATCACGAAGTTGAATGGGGGGGGGGTAGAATCAGATTGGAGGCTGGGAGTCAACTTACGTGGCGAATTGGGAATACACGGTGATGCATCCATTTTAAACTCACTGCACGACAATCGATTCGACAATCATCAACCACTGGCGACGTTGCTCTTTACACCACGCAGAGATCAAAAAATAGAAGTAGTTGTAGGTCGCAACGTTTTCTTCTGCTTCTTGGCGCCAATTTTCAACCGCTGCTTGGAAAAATTCCGCACAGGGAAATTCCCGTCTGTTGCTGACGTCAGCCAGTGAAGGAACGGCCAAAGCAGTTGCTGGCCTTCAGGTAAACCAGTCCAAGGCGCGAGCTGCACGTGAATTCGTTGCTTTGATTAGAAGGTGAAAGACGAAGGAACAGCACCACAGATGGAGGGACCCCCTGCGCCTGCCCCGCCTCCACCCCCTCCCTCCAAGTTCTCCACTAAGAGGCTCGCCTCTGCGGCTTCGTCTTCTTGCACGTCATCTCCATCCGTTTCTGCTTCTGGAAAGACACTCGAGGAGGCACTGCGCGGCACTGGCCTCTCTTCATGGCGTGCCACCTCCTTTGCGGCCAAGTCTGACACTGGCTTCGTCGGGCTCGGCAACCAAGGCACTGCCCCCCCCCCTGATAGTCCTCTTTTGCGCGCCACTAGACGAGCCACCCGGTCAGGAGTCTAACGAGGTGGCCCGCGGTTGGTACAGGAGCGACGTGCTACATGAACAGTCTCCTGCAGACGCTGTTCATGACCACCGAGTTCAGGTCGGCCCTCTTTGGCTGGCGCTACAACCCGAAGAAGGATGGCGACGAGCGGCTGTGCATTCCGCTGCAGCTGCAGAGGCTGTTTGCGCGTCTGTGCCTCAGCGCGTGTCCGCACATCGAGACCAAGAACGTGACCGACAGCTTTGGCTGGCACGGCAACGAGGTGTTCCAACAGCAGGACGTGCAGGAGCTCATCCGAGTGCTGCTCGATGCCATCGACAAGACCTTCTGTGCCAACGACCTCGACAATCCCATCACGTACGTGGCCACTGCGCTCGCTTAATCTCCCCTGTGCCGTGTGCGGTCCACTCACCACCCCTTCTACGCATCGCACGCGATGCCGCCCATTAGGCCACTCTATCGCGGTCTCCTGCACGACTACCTCCGATGCACCCAGTGCAACTATTCGCGCATTCGGTCGGACGCCTTTATGGACATTCCTCTGGTGATACGCGGCGTGTCGTCCCTCGAAGAGGCCCTCGACCTGTACGCATGCGCATTCCCTCTTCCAAGTTCCCAGTGATCCGTGATGGGCTCGGCGTGCATTTGATTGTGCTCGGCTGTTGGTGCGACATTGGGCGGGCAGGTATATGACACCCGAGGTGTTGGACAAGAGCAATCAGTGGTATTGCGAGCGGTGTGAGAAACGGGTGGATGCGCTCAAGGGACTGAAGCTCAAGGAGCTGCCGCCCATCATCACCCTGCAGCTGAAGCGCTTCGACTACAACTACTCCACGATGACGCGGATCAAGCTCAACAACCGGGTCTCGTTCCCCTTCTACCTGGACATGGGCAAGTACCACAAGTCCGACATCGACGACCAGCACACACCCGTGCCAGTCAAGAAGACACCACCGAGCGACACCGAAGACGTGGCCGTCATAGAGGTGCGCGTGCTGCTTCGCCAAAGGTAGCCGCGAACGACGGACGCGACTAACATGTAGATTCGAATAATAGGAGGCCGACCAGGATTGGTCATGCGCGCTGTGCACGTATCTCAACATACCACAGCTGAAGCGGTGCGAGATGTGCTCCACGCCGAGGCCTCAGCTCAATGCCGACGAGCCGCAGCGACAACCGGACGCTGATGCCTCCCCAGCTGCCCCGGCGCCACCTCCAGCGCCTGGCAGCGAGGATTCGCAGAAGCCCGGCGAAAAAGACACACCAGGTAGTCTGTCCTACTGGGTCGCGTTTTTTGTGGGCCGGCGTGTGTCGCTGAGCGAGGCGCTAAGCTTGTGTCTGTGTCACAGAAGCAGCGGCCGAGGAACCCTACCAATCGGAAGAAGTGCCACACGTTGGTGAGAACGACCACATCTACCAACTCTTTTCGGTGATGATACACTCAGGTGCCGTCCACTCTATTACCCTTGCCTAGGGGACGTCTCACTCATCAATCTATACACGCGTGCGTTCCTTGTGTCGTGTCATGTGTCCGCGTAGGTGGTGCAATGGGTGGACATTATTACGGTACGTTGTCACGCCCACAGAGTTAAAGTTAACCCCTCTCACCCCTTGGTTGGATCTATCGTCCAAACATGCAGCATACATCAAATCGCAGAAGACGGGTCGGTGGTACAGCTTCAACGACATGCACGTCACGCATATCACCGAGCAGGACGTGTGGCGGATGTTTGGCGACGAGGAGAAACGGATGACCGCCGCCAACGCCTATCTCCTCATGTACCGCAAGATGGAGCCCACTACCGCCACCGCCACCACAGAGGTCTCTGCCTGCGCCGGCCCGGAGGAGGGAGTGAACGAGTTGGACGGCGCCTTGGACGAGATACCCGAGGACCTGCGAAAGGAGGTGGAGGAGGAGAACCGGCGATACGACGAAGAGCGGGCCGAACATCAGCGGAAGCTCGACACGATCGACCTGCGCATCTTCTACGGCAACACGCCCACCATGATCCACATCCACAAGCAGAAGACGCTGCGCGACGCCACGGAGCTGGCCTACCGCGAGGCCAAGGTAAGCGAGAGCGTGCCCCTGTCCAGCGTGCGCCTGCGCAGTTACAACTCCACCACGGGCACGGTGGGTCTCCCGTTCACCGGCAACGAGGACAAGAAGCTGACCGATCTCGGTACGCGGCCAGCTTCCTGCTCACTTCTTACTCCACGCTTTAGTCACACTCGCCGGCAGGCCTGAGAGGGGGCTAACACGTTTTTGTTTCGTGCGTTTTGTTTGCAGGCATATTCAGCCAAAGGAGTCTCTTGTTGGAAACAAAGAACCCGAGCGACGAGTGGCCCGCCGAGGAGACGGAGGGCCTGACGCTGAAGGTGATCAAGCTGAACGAGCAAACGCTAGAGCTGGAGCCCGCGCTCACCGTCTCCCTCGCCGATGCCAGCACGGCCACCCTGGCCCAACTCAAGGCCGCGCTGGAGGAAAAGGTAATGCTCATGCTTTGGATGCCATGGCTCTCTTACTACTCACACGCCGCGGTACTCAACGCGCTGGTGCGCACGCAGGCTGGGATCCGTAGCGACGCACAGCGGCTGCTGCGGGTGTGCAATTCCGATGTGGAGTTCATTGAGGGAAGCGCCGAGAGCACGCTCGTCAATGACTGTAAGATAAGCGACGGCTCGCTCCTCTACGTCGAGGAGCTGAAGGTCCAGCCCATCACCGCCTCCCACCTCAGCTTCCCAAGAGGGGAGAGAGGCTCACCCTTCTTGGTGTGCCGTGGTCGCAGGCGGACGGATTGAGTCTGCTGAAGCAGCGGTTCGAAGCGGAGCAAAACACGATCGAGCTCAACTTCAACAATCCCAACACCGACGAGGAGGATATCAAGATTGCCATCGACCAACGCGAGACCATCGGCACGCTCAAGAAGCGAATCGGTAATGCACACACCACCATGTTGTACCAGAGGTAGCTTACAGCGCGTGGGCCAAACTCTAACCAACCCGATCATCACAATTATTAGGCGCGATCGTGGGCCTTCCAAACCACGAGTTCAGGCTGCGACGAAAGCTGCTCAACAAGGAGTACAAGGACGAGGACGAAACTCTGCAGCAGTGCTACCTCTTCGATGGCAGCGCCTTGCTCGTGGAAAAGGTTCACTCATTTCTTCTGCCGGCGCACACGACGCTCACAACCGAAGACGCATTGAACCACAACTAATGGTTTTGCTTGGTTGCAGGGGCGATCGCTGAAGGCGGGCGAGATCCTGAGTAAGGTGTACATGTACAGCGCGGAGGAGGAGGACCTGGCGTTCACGCTCGTCCTCGACTCCATGATCGTGACCGAGGGCGACCTGAGCGCCAAGGTGAAGGCGCACGTGCGGGAGAGGCTGGGGGAGGACTACCTCCCGTGGGACCGCGTGCGGGTGCGCGAGAAGATAGAGTGCCGGCTCGGCACTGCGATGAAGCGCGGCAAGACGCTCAAGCAGACTGTTAGCGCGCTGCGCGATGGCGTCGAGCTGGCGCTTCAAGTTGTAGACGTACGGCCTCACCCCTCCTCTAATCGTGGTGGTCCACACTCACCCGTCTTCTACCTCAACGCAGGAGGACGCCAAGGCGGAGCTCGACGAAGCGGAGATGGTGCTGGAGACGCGCCACTTCTGCCCGGCCACGATGGAACTCAAGAGGGGCGAGGAGCTCGGGCTGCTGAAGGACTCCTCAGTCCTCGCGCTGCGCACGGTCATCGGTACGGCCTCCGGCACAAGCTCAAGCTGTGTGCGTCGTGGCAACGGAATGCAAACAAGAGTGCGTGTCGTGCGGCTGTGCAGGGGCCAAGTACGACGTGCCGGTGCAGTTCGTCGCGGTAGCCAAGCCCTTCAAGCACCAGCTCGGCGTGGTGAGCTCCCTGCTCTCGCTCAACTGGGAGCTCTACGACGATGCGGTGATCACCAAGAGCCCGCTCTACCTCCGCGACGGCGACCTCATGCTGTGGCGCGACCTCCGAGAGATACCCAAGGAGATCGCCACCGACGGTCTGCCACAGGTCTACATCCCCTCCTTCTGGTCTCTTCGCATTCATGTCATCTCCTCACCACTTGGAGCCGCGTCGACAGGTCGTGGGCAGCGTCAGCCGTCCCAGGGAGTCGGGCATTGTCATCCGCACGGTGCACGACCTGCCGCCAGGTGGCGGCGCCGGCGGCGAGGCCAAGGAGGAGCTGCTGCAGGCGGAGGAACCGGCCACGAAGGCTGCAGGCGACGTAGCCACCCCGGAGCCGGTACAGTGAGAACGAGAGGGGGACTGTAAACACGTGGGGGAGAAGATAAAGAAGACGTTGTTGTAGAAGTAGTAGTGAAGAAACCTGCGCCAGCACTTAACGCAGGCGATGAGGTGCATGCTCATGATCCTGCAGTCGATGGAGGGGCCGGTGATGGGAGAGCGTTGCTGAATGGACCCACCTGAAACGGGCATGTCTCGGGGGTGCACTCGTGCGCCTTCACCTTCTCGTGCTTGTAAGGACAGTGCCTGCGAGAACGAAGAAGAGATCAGCACAACACAGGGAAGAGCGAAAGGTAGGATTGGTGGCAGGAAGCGTACCTGCACTTGGAGGCGCAGCACTTGCGCCTGGAGAGGAGGTAGCACGATGTGAACACGGAGTAGCCGGTGCGCGGATCGAGGTAGGAATCTTCTCCATTTTCAAGCGCCTGCAGATGGCACTCCTCGATTTCCTTCAGGGCCGCCATCTCGGCTGTCGTGGCCAGTCTCCTCGCTCCAAACCGACCAGGTGGCACCACCCTACCTAACGAGAGCCGGAAGCGATTCGTTGTGATGGAAAGAGGAACGAATTCTTCGCCAGATTAGAAATGAGTGGCTAAACTGCTTTTCTTTCGGCCGCAACAATCCCGGTTTTTTCCAGGAATTCCTTTGGCGCGAAAACGTCTCTCTTCGCAACGGAAACATCAACCGTTTTGGTTCAGGGTGTGCATGATCCAGTATTGTTACAGCCAGCTTACCCACCTCAACTCACACCACCTCCACTCGATCGAGATGGCGACGAACACGTACGTGGTGGAGTATGCCAAGACTGGGCGGGCCAGCTGCAAGAACAAGCCGTGCAAGAAGAAGACGATCGAAAAGGACAGCGTGCGCGTTGGCAAGGTCAGCCCCAACCCCTTCTCCGAGGGCGACACGAAGACCGAGTACCTCCCCCTCACAACAGTGGCATGACATTTTCTTGGAGGTGATTAGACGGTAAAAATTCATGTGATTAAGATAGATGGAAACGGAAGATGATTGGGGATTGGACGGTCCGGCTCACACGCACTACAACAGTTGGTTCCACTTGTCGTGCATCTTCGATCAGTTGAGCCGAGCGCGAGCATCGACCAAAAAGATCGAGAGCACCGACGATCTCGAGGGCTTTGACGATCTCAAGAAGAAAGATCAGCAGCGTGTCAAGGCGCTGATCGCGGGCGAGAGTGAGAGCGAGGACGAGGACAGCAGCGAGGAGGACAAGAAGAAGAAGAAGACAACAAAGAAGGCGCCCGCCAAAAAGAAGGCCCCTGCCAAGAAGAGGAAGCAGCCAAGCTCAGACGAAGAAGAAGAGGAAGAGAGCGAGGAGGAGAAACCCAAGAAGAAGGCGCCTGCCAAGAAGAAGGCCCCGGCCAAGAAGCGGAAGCCGGCCACCTCTGACGAGGATGAGGAGGAGGAGGAGAGCGAAGAGGAGAAGCCCAAGCCCAAGCGGAAGGCGGCCAGCAAGGGAAAGGCTCCTCCCGCCAAGCGGAGGAAGCCCGCCTCTTCAGACGAAGAGAGTGAGGAAGAGAGCGAAGAGGAGAAGCCCAAGCCCAAGCGTATCGCCAAGAGGAAGAACCGCTGAGCCCCGTGATCACATCTGGCTGCCATGTGGCCACCATCAGGTTGGTGGCGATTGGTCGACTACGACATTAATGCACACATTCCTTTCATTCTTGCCCCAACCAAGCTTGCAACCATTCCCTTTTTGGGTCAACGGCGGCCTGACGTTTGGGACTCGGCGGAGAAGCTCAACAAGATGGAGCAGGGGAGGCATGCAGATGATGAGACGTCGGGGTATGTGGTCAGGGTGCTGATGGGTAACGCCAACCCCAAGCTGGGGAGGGACATCGCGGAAGCGCTGGGCGAGCGCCTGAGCGACTGCGAGATCGCCAAGTTCGCGGATGGCGAGATCAACATGCAGATCAAGGAGAACATCCGAGGGGCGGACGTCTACGTGATCCAGGGCACCTCTCCCCCCGTCAACGACAACCTCATGGAGCTCCTGCTCCTGCTCCAGACCATCAAGCTCTCCTCGGCCAAGCGCATCACCGCCGTCATCCCCTACTACGGCTACGGGCGCCAGGACCGCAAGACCCGCCCGCGCGTGCCCATCTCCGCCAGCGCCGTCGCGCAGCTGATCGAGGCCATGGGGGCCGACCGCGTCGTGACGGTGGACCTCCACTGCGGCCAGATCCAGGGCTTCTTCCACCACACGCCCGTCGACAACCTCTTCGCCGAGAGCGAGTTCATCGACACGCTCAGGTCCAAGTACCCCGACCCGAGCGACGTCGTGATCGTCTCGCCCGACGCCGGCGGCGTGATGCGCGCCCGCCGCATGGCCGACACGCTCCACGTCGAGAACGTGGCCACCATCCTCAAGCGTCGCGGCAAGGCCAACGTCGTGGACTCGATGCAGATAGTGGGCTCGGTGGCGGGCAAGAGGTGCGTGATCGTCGACGACATCATCGACACGGCGGGCACGCTGTGCAAGGCCGCCGAGCTGCTCAAGGACAACGGCGCGACGGACGTCATCGCCTGCGCGACCCACGGCGTCTTCTCCGACTGCGCCATGGACCGCCTCAACGCGTCGTGCCTCTCCGCGGTCTACGTGAGCGACTCCATTCCCCAGGAGCACAACAAGCAGCGCTGCGACAGGCTCCACGTACTCTCCATCGCGCCTCTCCTCGCCCGCGCCATCCGCCGCGTCCACGACGAGAAGTCCCTCTCCGTCCTCTTCCCCCACACCTAAACCCTCACCTCACCTCTTTCAAAGAATAAACAAGTACTCAAAATCTTTTCTGTTTTTCTATTAATCGTTACAACATAACAATATTAGAGGCAGCAACGATCAACAAGCAGTTCTGGTTTATTTCTTAGACCGAGTTCTGTGAAGACCTGGGCACGAAGGGTACAGAAGAAGAAGAAGACCTGGATCTTCCGAACGAAAGAAGGTACAATGCCGCCGGAGGTTTATGTGCAGGTGGTGGGGGCGGGCACGGCGGGTATCACGCCCTCGGTGATGGTGGTGGCCGGCCGGCACCGCTTCCTCTTCAACTGCGGGGAGCAGTCGCAGCGCTTCATCACCGAGAACAAGCTCCGCACGCAGAACGTCGATGCCCTCTTCTTCACCCAGGTCGACTGGCACCACCTCGGCGGCCTCTCCGACTTTCTCATGACCGGTGCCCCCCCTCCCTTCCTCCGCCTGTCTTGTGTGTGTCGTGTGTGTCGTGTCGTGTGCGATGCGCGTGTGTCATGTGTGCGTGTGCGGTACTAACATCGGGTGGCTACAGTGGCGGACAATGGGAAGAGCGAGATAGCGCTGTACGGGCCGGCGCCGCTGTACTGCTACGTGCTGTCGATGCAGATGTTCCTCTACCGACCCTCGTTCACGCTCGACGTGCACCAACTCGACGCCCAGCCCGCGCGCCGCCTCGGGTTCGACGTGGGCGAGAAGGGCGACGAGGCCCGCATCTGCGTCCGGCCCATCCTCCTCCTGCCCCACGCTCATGAAGGTGGCGATGGTGGTGAAGAAGAAGGTGGTGGTGATGATGAGGTGGTGGAGGACCTGGACGATGCGGGCTGTCTGCGGAAGAGGATCGCGCTGGCGTTCGACGTGGGCGGAAGGTGTGCCACCAAAGGCCCGAGCTGCGGCCCCTCCTGCCGACGGACGGCGGGGACCACTACCTGCCGCCCGTCATGTGCTACGCCGTGGAGGCGCCCGAGGTGCGCGGCAAGTTCGACGTACAGAAGGCCAAGGCGCTGGGCGTGCCACCGGGTCCTCTCTGTGGTGCGGACCTCCTTTCTTGTCACTCGACGGACGCGTTTCTGGTGACGCTGACCGCAGGCACACGCACACGCTCACACACGCACACGCACACAGGGAAATTGACGAAGGGCGAGAGCGTGGTAACGCCGGATGGAGGTGTGGTGCACCCGTCCGACTGCATGGGTGCCACCGTTCCCGGCCCCGTGTTCCTGCTCGTCACGTGCCCTTCGCCGGCCTACCTGCCCCGTCTCCGGTCGAACCAGGTGCGCACACCCAATTCGGCTACTTGGGCGACAACGTTGTCTGAGACCTAGCGTTGTGTGTGTGTGTGTGTTGTGTGTGTGTGTGTGTGTGTGTGTATAGTTCATCAGGGCCTACGCGGCGAACCCCGACATGGCGTGCGTGGTGCACATCACGCCCCGTCACGTCCTGCAGCTCCCCGAATATAAGGCGTGGATGGACTCCTTCGTCTCCCAGCGCGGTGCTCCCTACTCTCCTCTCGTTTCCTCTATGACCGATCGGCGCTGACCTTACTCTTGCCTGCTGCTGAACAGTCACGCATGTGCTATTGGACGAGAGCACGGCGCTGGACGTGGACCGCACCCTGTTCAAGGCCTCGAACGCGCACAGCGTCAAGCTCAACTACGCCCTCCCCGCCGCCTTCCCGCTCCCCTACGACATCCGCTCGCTCCCGCATCGCCTCGACCCGTCGCTTTCGCTTTCGTCTGCGCTTTCGTCGTCGTCTTCGACAGCTCCCGAGCCCAAGGCGAGGGCGGCGGCAGCGACCAAGGGGAAAGGCAAAGAGAAGGCAGCCCGCAAGGCCCACGCTGCGGGCTCCCAGGCGGCCGTCGGCCGACCCGAAGGCGCGACCCAGGCCGAGGCTCGACTCCTGTCCGACCTGTTCGGCTCCGCCAGCTCGAACGGCGCGACAAAGGTGGTAGTGGGCGACAACCTGATGAAGTTCTCGCTGCTGCCGCCGGCCCACTTCGGGCTGGACTGGGCCCAGAGCGTGGAGCTGAGCGACGAGGCGGGCTACCGGCGGGTGATGGACGACCTCCGAGCCGACGCCCGACTCAACGCCGCGCTCGGTCGCATCTTCCCCGATCGACCCCAGGGCCTCGCCGCCGCACAGGAATCGGAGGAAGGCGAGGCCGCCGACGGCGAAGCGCGGGTGGTGTTCCTGGGCACCGTGGCGTCGGCTTCCAACCCGGTGCGGTCCGAGTCGTGCATCTACGTCGATGTCCCTAACTATGGCGGCATCCTGCTCGACGCCGGCGGTGGCGCCTACCAACAAATGGTGCGCCACCGCATTCTTCACTTCCGCGCACGCTCGCAGCCACTGACACACCGCACACGCGCACCGCACACACGGCACACACCGCACACACCGCACACGCACACGCCGTGCAGGTGCGATATTACGGCCATGCGGGCGCCAGCGAGCGTCTGGCAAAGCTGCGGTGCATCTGGGTCACCCATAAGCACGCCGACCACTGCGCCGGCGTGGTCAACCTCATCCGCATCGTGAACCAGCTCAAGCGCCAGCGCCAGCGCAGCCAGCCCCAGCCCGACCCCGACCGCCAACCTGCGGCCACCGCCGCCCCGCTGCGCCGGTGGGAGTGCCCCGTGTGCGGCTTCGGCTTCCGGTACCGCAAGAGCATGGAGATGCACCTGCCCATCCACCACATGGCCTCGGTGGCGGGGTCGTCGGTGGAGGACGAGCTCTACGCGAAGGCCACCCAGCGGGACCCGGCGGAGGGCGACGATCCCGTGGATTTCCTCCCCTCGCTCTCCTCGCCCTCCGTACTCGTCGTGGCCCCCTTCTGGATCGAACCTTGGTGCGCCACACGCACACGCGCCACCGCACACACGTCACCGCACACACACGACAGAATGCGCTGACGGTGGTGCCGGTGTGGTGGCAGGCTGGAGGATTACAACGAAACGGTGCAGCGCATCGAATACGACTTTGTGGACGCCCTCTACCTGACCCGCACCTGGCGACAGGCCGACGGCGGGGAGCAGCTGCCGCTGCTGGCGCGCTACTTCCGCGAGGCGCTCGGCTTCACCGAGGTCTACTCCGCCATCGTCGAGCACTCCTACCCCACCTTTGCCGGTACCTCCACGCCCCCCCCCCACCACGTGTGTCGTGCGTGTCGTGTTGTGTGTCGTGTTGTGTGTCGTGTCTGACGCAGCGCACGCAGTGGTGATGGAGCACGAGCGCGGGTGGCGGCTGGTGTACTCGGGCGACACGCGTCCGTGTGCGCAGATGGTGGAGCTGGCCCGGGGCGCCACGCTCCTCATCCACGAGGCCACCTTCGACGAGGACATGCAGGAGAAGGCCATCGGCGACCGACACTCGACGGTGCGCGAGGCGCTGAGCGTGGCCCGCGACGCCCAGCCCAAGTGCACGGTGCTCACCCACTTCAGCGGCCGCTTCGAGAAGACCCTGCCCGACGTGTGGGAGGCGCAGAGGGCCATCGCCACCACCGCAGCTCCAGCGTTGACGGAGGAGGAGCCTCCTCTGATGGTGGTCCTGGCGCAGGACTTCATGACGCTGCGCCTCGAGGGCGACCAGAGAGACGTCGTTGCGGTCATGCAGCCCCTGCAGCAGCTCTTTGCCGCTGACGCCGAGGCGAGCAAGCCAGACACCACCACACCACATTGAGACAAAGAGGCGAATGACAACAAGGCGAGGTTGTGCGGGTGCACTGAGATTGAGATGGTGGGGTCCTATGGGGGGGGGGTCAGAAGGAGAGTTCGCGGGTGTCGCCGGGGTCGGCGTTGACGAGGCTGTTGGTGGGCTCGTAGTCCTCGGCATTGGCGTAGGCATGCGCATCGGCGTCCTCGATCGGCACATCCGGCGCCGGCGGCGGCACGCCCCACGTGTTTCTGATCATGTACACCACCCAGCTCGCCAGAATGCCTGCGGCCCACCACACGATACAACACGACACACGCAACACACGGGTCAGGAAAGAACGAAAGAGGCTCTCTGCAGGGCGAGGCGACGTCGGTGTGTACCGGGGAAGACGAGGCGGTAGAACTCGAGGACGAAGATCTGGATGACGACGCTGTCGACATAGCGGCAGCTGAGGTAGTCCCGCACGCGGTAGAGCGAGAGCAGGAGCAGGAAGACCATCACCAGCAGCACGAAGGAGCCCAGCTCCCGCAGCACCAGGTTCAGCGTCGACCGCCACCTGGGCGGACGTCGCGCCGGGTCCTCGACCTCGTACGTCGTCCCGCCGATCGTGATCTCGTTCCTGTTTGTGACGTCAGCACCAGCAACGACCCAGGGCTGTGCGTGTGCGTGTGCGTGTGCGTGTGCGTGCCTCTGGTTGCCCTTGGTCTGGGCCTTGAGCAGGAGCCAGGGGTAGAAGATGCCGATCAGCTCCTCCACCACCCAAATCACGAACGACTTGGTGAACATCTCTGTTATCGATCATACAGAAAACAGAAAACGATCAAGCAATTAGTTGTGTGTGGTGTGTGGTGTGTGGTGTGTGGTGTGTGGTGTGTGGTGTGTGGTGTGTGGTGTGTGTGGTGTGTGTGGTGTGTGTGGTGTGTGTGGTGTGTGTGGTGTGTGTGTGGTGTGTGTGTGTGCGTGTGTGCGTGTGTGCGTGTGTGGTGTGTGTGCGTGTGTTGGGGGTAAGGTGGGCACCGGCGAGGATCTCCTTCCAGGCGGCGGGGAGGGAGGTCGCGGAGATGACCGACGATGCGGGGATGATGGGCCAGATCCACAGGGTCAGCAGGATGATGCCTGCGACGACCTTGGTCAGGATCACCAGCAGCTTGTTCCACCTGTTCAGCCGCTCATCTGGCGCTGGTCGCTGTTTTCCTCCCATCAACCCGTCAGCGCACGTGTCGTGTCGTGTCGTGTCTCGTGTCGTGTCGTGTCTCGTGTCGTGTCGTGTCGTGTCGTGTCGTGTCGTGTCGTGTCGTGTCGTGTCGTGTCGTGTCGTGTCGTGTCGTGTCGTGTCGTGTCGTGTCGTTGGGGAGCGTACGATGAAGGAGAGCCAGTCGTGGGTGAAGAGCCAGTGGTGGGGGAAGAAGGGGTACTTGGGCTGGGTCATGATGCCGCAGCACTGGCAGTGGCGGTAGCAGCAGGGCACGAACGGCGCGTTGAACCACCAGGCCCGCTCCTTGCGCTCGCGCAGCCGCTTCTCCTCCTGGTACTTGGTCAGCTGCCGCTCGTGCCGCTCGGTCAGCTGCTCGAGCGCGTTCTGGGCCTTGACGGCGACCTCGCGCCGGAAGTGGCTGGTGATGATCAGCCCGCAGGCGAAGATGGAGACCGCAATCAGGAACACGCCGAACATGCCGCCCACATAGCCAGTGGCACACGTCTGTTCAAACATTCAGTGTAGCGTGTCAAAACACACACACACACACACACACACACACACACACACACACACGAGACAGAGGCGGCGCACAGTACCGTAATCGAATACAACGTCGTATTCGAACTGGACGGATACGGAGGTGTTCTCGGGGGTCGGGTTGAGGTAGAAGGCGATGACGTAGTCGCCTCCGTGCTTCTGGAAGTAGATCGTGAACTGGCGCGTCTGTCGACACAACACAACACAACACGTCAGCAACACTGCCATCGCACACGCCGCACACAACGCACACAACGCACCTGAGTGATGTGGGTGAAGAAATTGACGTCGTGCTCAAGGAAGGGAGCGTTGGCTTTCGTGGCGTTGGCCATGTCCAGCTCTTTCAACTGCCGCAGCTGGTCGCTGGTGATCACCATGGCCGACATGTCGCACGTCTTGCCTGCACGGCATGCAACTCAGTGTGTGCGTGCGTGCGTGCGTGCGTGCGTGCGTGCGTGTAGTACCAGGAGGAGCACATGCCAGCAGCGTCGTGTTCACGACCAGCTTGGCGCCGGCCAATGCTCGCACCACCCGCGACTCGTGAAAGTCCCACGCGTTGAGCAGCACTGCGCCACGCCGCACCGTCAGCAATCAATCAACGAAAATCACTTCTGATCAGTTTTGAGCCTTGCTTTAAGAGCAATTTGATTGATGGTACCATCTTTCTCAGAGAAGGAGCAGCCATCGTGGAGGCAGGAGTCCCGGGTCCACGAGGGAATAACCAGGATGCAAAGTAGGATTAGCACCACAAATAGCGGCGCATGATGAAGCTGGACCATGCTGCCGGCACGTCTGCAGCACGACTCTTGATTGTACAATCTTGTCTCTATAGAGTCTTCCACAGAGGGGCGAAGCGTCTTGCGTCGTCAGCACAAGAAGGCTCGGCGTCGTCTTCGCAGGAATCCTCTTCCTTCTATTTCTTCCTCCTTTTCCTCCTCCTCTTCTTCTTCTTCTCTACCGATGAGCTTGGTGGTGTTAAAAAAATAAATAGACAGCACGTCTTCTTCTTGTTCTGTCTTCTTCTTCTTCTTCCAAGGTTGGAGTCGTTGGTCAAAAGCTTAGGCAGAGTCGTGCGTGTCGGGCACCTCGAAGAGGTCGGTGTAGTCGAGCGTGGGGTGGAGGAAGTCCTTGAAGTTGCCCTTCCATCCCTTGTCGAACGGATTGCGGAACCTGTTCTCGCGATCCCTGAAGTAGGGATACCTGTAGAGATGGTGATGATGGTGGTGATGAAGAAGAAGAAGAAGAGTGACGATGATCGTCAGCGATAGAACATCGAATTAGACGGGGTGGCAGAGCGCCGGGTGAGGGATAGAGGCCGGGTGCGCGTACTTGGTGCCGTTGAGGTACTCGTTGGCGGTGACGTTGTCGAAGATGAGCGTCCACTGCTGGTAGAACACGTACATCTCCCAGAGCGCGTTGAACAGGTGGAACAGCATCAGCATCAGCAACATCTGGCGGCGGCGGCAAACGTGAGTTGTAGCAAAGGCGGGGGGGGGGAACAGCTAAACAGAGATCTTGACGCATCGTACCGCCTCCTGGCTGTAGTAAAAGTGGATGGCCGAGTGCACCGCCCAGATCGACGGAGCGCCGTCGAGCGAGCCGAGCACTGCCAGAGAGGGTAAGCGACCGAGGCCAAAGAGGGGAAAAAGAAGCCATTTGGCGTGCTGGTGGTGGTGGTGGGGAAGGAGCGTGGCCTTACGTTGGACGCAGAAGAAGGCAAAGATCCAGTGGAGCAGGATGACGAGCGTGAGCAGGACCATGAAGGGCTGGTGGTTGTTCACGCCCACGCAGTTGTTGAGCCACGCGCAGTGGTGGTCCATGCGCGCGACACACCGGTTGCAGCTCCTGCAGTGCTTGGAACGAATCGGACGCGCGATCTGTGCCATGGTGGCAAAACACAGACAAGACATCAAGCGAAGAGTGAATTGAATTGAATTGCACGGCGTGGCGTGGTGGCGACAAGGGGCGGCATCGTACCATGCAGGTGGGGCAGAGCTGAGGGATGTTCTTGGCGCCGAGGCTCAGCTTGTGGTAGATCTTCTCCACCCCGGCCTCGTCCAGCTTCAGGAAGCCCGGGTCGGACCGCACCAGGTACAGGAACAGCGACGCCCACATGAAATTGACTCCGATGAAGAACATCGTCAGCATGCCGTACTCGTTGGTCACTGTAGTCAAATGGTCATGGGGTGTGAGTCGATGGCAGATGTGGCCGACAAACGTCGACGAGACGTGAAGTGTGGTGGTGGCGGGGGCGGCGGTGGTGGTAACGCTACCTGGGAAGATCTTGATGAAGTAGACCCAGGTCGAGAGGGCGTAGGCGGCGGCCATAACGGACATGAAGAAGGGGTTGTTGGTGTCCTTGCCCAGCCACATGTAGCTGATGAGCCGCCTGATGAAGACGAAGATGGCGGCCAGCACGACGACCGTCGCGAGGAAGGGCAGCGTGTCGATGAAGAAGAAGAGGAGGGGCACCAGGAGCCACGGCATCAAGAACCAGGTGCGCCAGTTCCTTGCCTGCGTGCATGCCATCAACATCGGACCAACAAACCAAACCAAACCACGCGAGAGGAGCAGATACGAACCTCGCTTTGGGATGTGTAGCCCTGGGAATATTTGAGGAGGGAGACGGTGTTCTTCATGTTCTTTTGCTTGGCCAGGTCGAGCGGCGTGTAGCCGTCGGAGTCCACGGCGTGCACGTCGGCGCCGTTCAGTATCAGAAACTGAACCATTTGGAAATGACCCTGTACCACCGAGAGGTTAGCATGAGCATTAATAGCCACGACACACACACACACACACACGCGCGCGCGCGCGCACACACACACACACACACACACACACACACAGGGAATGGTCGTACCTTGAGCGAAGCCCAGTGCATGGGCGTGAGTCCCTCGTCGTCCACGCTCCTGACGTCTGCGCCCAGGGAGATGAGCAATCGGGCCACGCTTTCGTGGTTCTGGTACGCCGCCCAGTGCAGCGGCGTATGGCCCTCCGTGTCCCGGTGCGCCACGGAGAGTCCTGCGCAGTACGAACGACCGGTGAGCCCGTGCGCGTGGCGGTGTAGTCAGAGAGACACAGAAGAGAAGAAGACCGGTCATCAAGGTACCTTGCTTGACGATGAGGTTGTGAGCCATGAGCACGTTGCCGTACTGGCAGGCATGAACGAGACTATCGTATCCACGCTTGTCGCTCTTGGTGATGTCCGCTCCCTCCTTGATCAGCAGCAGCATGCTCTGGAGCCACAACGAAACGATTATGTCAGAGATCAGAGCGACGCACAGGGACACTCGTTGCGAATGAAACACGACATGTCAACACAAAAGACTTCTTCAATACGTACCGGCAGGCTCTTGCCGATGCAAGCCCAGTGCAAGGGCGTCTGTGCCTCCTTTTCGTTGAGCGCGTCGATGTTGGCGCCCCGCTGCAGGAGGTAGGTGATGGTGTCCAACCTTGAAGCGCGAGCGTGTAGCACAAAGAAGGCGACATGAGGAAGACGAAGGCGAAGGCGACGATGACAAGAGGAGCGTAGCGTTTCGGGGGTCGTACCGGTCAAAGTAGGCAGCCCAGTGGAGAGGAGTGGAACCGTCCTCGTCGCCCTGGTTGATGTCGTTCTTCTCCTCTTCGATAAGGACTCGCAACAGATCGACATCTCCTCTCCTGGCGGCAGTCCAGATGTCTGTGGAACAGGGATGCGAATTCAGCAAAGAAGGAAATTGAACGTAAGAAAAGAAATGGTTGCTACGAGTTCTGAAGATGGGAGCAGGCCAAGATGAAAGAGAAATGAGGCGGCCAGGCTGTAGGGGGGCAGCACGATTTTGTACCGCGAGATGGGAGGGCGGCAGGCTGTTGCATGTGAGGGCCGGGAACCATTACGCCTCCTCCGCCAGCGTCTCCCCCGCCGTGATCGTGATTGCACGATCCGCCGCCGCCGTGGCTGTGTCCATGCGACATGATCTCTCTGGCGCGATTTTCGATCCGGGGCGGGAGCAAAGAGCAAAGATGGATGCAATAAATAAATCCTCGTCAAAATGAAAATAGTAGACACAACCTGAAACTGCTAAACTGCGGTTATGTGAAACCCAATTCGTTGGGTGGCAACGTGACCGCCACGTCAGTGACCTTCGATAGCTGACGCGATCGCCTGTTGTTGGTTGCACATTATTTATTGTTGTTGTGTTCCGTTGCTACAGAGTTCTTGGCGTGATGTGGTTGCGACAGGGTTGAAGAAGAAGTACAAGTTGTATGGCGGATGCACCGCTCGCTCGGGGTTGGCCCAAAGGGAATCGGGCGGCTGGTCTAGACGCGGAGGGCGTAGAGTTGGAGGAGGGCGCGCAGCTTGGCGGCCTCGTCGTCTTCGGTCTGTTCCTCCGCCGCAGCCTTGGCCTCTGCTTCCTCCTCGGCCTTCTTCACCGCTTCTGCTCACCGGACACAGGGCGCACATGGAGCGTTAGCACCCAACACCACAACAACACCGCAATGATGGTGATGATGGTGATGGTGATGGTGATGATGGTTGTGGACGCACCGGCATTCCTGCAGGCCATGTCGATGGCGGTGACCCACTCGGCGCGCTCCCGCTCCGACGCACCACAGAATCGGGTGGAGCCGACGGTCGGGTTCATGATGAGGAACACGAACTGACCCTTCTTCTTTTTCTTCTTCTCCTCCTCGGGCTTGGCGGACTCCACCTCCACCGCACAGCCCTCGAGCTCGATCACTCCGTGCGGCCAGGCGTCCTGCGGTGCGTGTGTGAGAGAGTTCGGACATAAAAATCGTTGAGTTTAAGTCCGATCACGCCAGACGAAGAGGGACACAAGAGGGGGCCACTGCGCCGCACCGTTCGGCTGCCGAAGAGATAGAGCCGGCCCTCCTTGAGCGAGAGCCAGTTGCTGAGCCACCGGCCGGGGCTCTCCTCGTACATGAGCGTGCCCTCCTTCTCGGCGCCGGCCTGGTAGGCCGACCTCTGCTGTTCCGCCGCCGCAGCCTCAGGCTGCTCTTCCTCCTGATCACGCACACGCGCGTGTTAGGCCCGGTGCGTGTCCTGTGTCGTGTCGTGTGCCGCGTGTCGTGTCATGTGCTGGTTATGAGTTATACCTCTTTCTTGAGCTCGTCGATGCAGGCGGTGATGGCCTCCATCCACTCCTTCTGCTCCTGCTGGTTTTTGGCCACGATGTAGTAGTCGCGGTTCAAGTTGGAGACGTGGAAGCAGAACGGCTTCCGGGTGGAGTTGAACACCGAGCACCGCCGCAGCGAGATGGTGCCCTTCGGCGTCGCGTCCGACGGGCTCGCGTAGTAACCGATCGACTCCTTCTTCAGGATGAACCAGCGGTCCTTCCAGTTCCTCCTCTTGGCTCCCTTCTTCGACAGATAGCCCACCTTGATGACGTCATCCGGCAGCTCGATCTGGTTGCGACCACCCCGCGGTGACGTCAGCCAAAGAATGCCAAGCATGAGCGCTCAGATGGATGGGCGCAAGCAAGAAGGTACCTTCTGCGTGAGGGAGGCCCCGGGGGCGGGTTTGGCCACGCTGACCCGCCTCTGCTTGTCATCGCCGGCCACGGAGGCCCTCCGCTCGTCGCCCTCGTCGGTCTCGTCGTCCCGGGTGATGTACTGGAACAGATTCACCTCCTCCGCGCTGACGTCGCCTGTGTTGTGTGTCGTGTGTGTTGGTCAGGTCGAAGAACACACGGCCAAGTGGGGCAGGGACGAGGGCCTACCCTCTTCTTGCTTCTCGGCGTAGTAGTAATAGGGCGACGAGTGCTTGGAGGCGTGGTAGAAGGCGGGGCTGTCGTCGGCGTTGCTCTTGCGCTCCGAGGCCATGATGGACGATGACGACCCGGCGGCGGCGGCGGCGGGCTTTGGCGAGTTCTTGAAGAAGGCGCCACGCTGCTTGTCGCTGCTGGGCGGCTGGGGCGAGCCGGCCACGGTCCCGGCGCCGATGGCGAGGGTGCCCAGGAGGTCCTTGACCTCGGCCTCGAGCACCTTGAGCTCGGCGTCGCCCAGCTTGGCGCCGCTGCGCAGGTGGTTCCACAGCTTGTTGATGAGCAGCTTCTGCTTGTTGGACTTGGACGAGAGCGAGAAGTTGCTCTCCATGAGGTTGAGCTTCTCGTTGCGCTCGCCGCGCAGCACGAAGCGGAAGGCGTTGAGCTCTTCGGCCATCTGCTGGCGCTCCTGCTCGAGCTCACCGACGCGCTCGTTCAGCTTGACGAGGCTCTCCGGCGCGGCGGCGTCATCGCCGGCGGCCGAGGCGCGGGCGGCCACGCTGCCCCACACCGAGCTGCCGATCGACAGCAGGGCCGACGTGGCGTCGTGGATCTTCTGCACCCACTTCTGCCGCTCTTCGCTGTTCTGGCAATAGAACTGCCACTTCTTGTGGGTGTCCAGATTGGTGATCTCGAAGCCGTGCTTGCCCGTCGCCGTTTCTGTGTTGAAGAAGAGGGAAAGGTATAGAGAGACGTCGGAGTTGAGCCTCGAAAGAAATCATTGGTAGATAGGAGTTAAAAAATGGGGGGAGGGCGTACTGTCAAAGTCTTCGAGAATGCGGACAACGCACTTGTTGAGCGCGGCGAAGCCCGCGAAGGAGGCCTTGGCGCCAGCTGTCTTGGAGAGCACCAACGCGTCACTGCCATACACCACATATGGACCGTTAAAGGTAAGCTCAACTTTAGCAATCGGGTCGATGCAAGGCCAAGGCCGTACTTGAAGAGGTAGACGTGGCCGTCCTTGACCTGCTTCTTCTTGATCTTCAGCGGACCCTCCAACACCAACTTGCGACCGGCCAACGCGATCTGGGTCTGTGTTGTGTAGCATTTTGCAAGTGAGATTTGGGGGGGGGTCGGCCACACACCATCAGTTGATTGACCCACAAAACACGGCTTTGCTGGCGCACCTCGAGGCCGTCGAGCTTCTTCTCGATGTCGAACAGCTTCTCGATGTCCTTGGCTTCGGCCTTGCTGAGATTGATGGCGGTGGCGGTGCTCTCCAGCCGGAGAATGGTCTCCTTCCATTTGCCCGGGTCGGCTTCCGCCGGCAGGTACTTCGTCAGCTCCTTCAGCGTCAGCGGGTAGTGGCAGATCCTGGTGGTCGTACACGTCGCATGATATTGCCAGAGTGAGTGTCGTGTGTGTCATGTTGTGTGTCGTGTCGTGTCGTGGTGTGTCGTGTTGTGTCGTGTGTGTCGTGAATGGTGTACCTCTGCAGCGGCTGGATGAGGAAGCTCCGTAGCATGTAGAGGTTGAACTGATTCACGACCTCGAGTTTCTGCAGACGATGAGACAACAGCGAACGGGCGGCCTGTTAGGTCCTGGCAGGCTCACTGTAGGTGTTGATGTTGTGGACGCCGCACCTCAATGAACGTGCAGAAGATCGGGTCCTGGATGAGGGCGTTGAGCTTGTCCTTGGCCCGCTTGTAATTGGCACAGTACTCCTCGTAGACCTTCACCAGAGGCTCCATCTGCTCGTTCACCACCGCCATCATCACCACCGTCGCCACCACCATCAACGTCATCAGCCACACAAACACAACGCTCAAATAAAAATATAAATGTTTGAAAAATAAAACAAAAAAGAGGCGTGTGTAGTACCACTTCAGCAAAGACTTCGACGACGCGAAGCAGAGAGATGACCTCGCCTGGCGGGCTCAGCTTCTGGCTGAGTTCGCTGTTGACTTGAAGAAGGCGCTCCACGGGACCCACCAGCGCGGCCTCATCCTCCTGACTCACAATCCCCTCCTTGCGCAGTGGCTCCAAAAAGCCCTTTTTTTTGTAAATCCATCATCACGTCCCCCCCCCGCAAGATGTTAAATTTCTGCGTCTTGATTGATCTTGAGAGGGATGGTATCGTACGTGAACAAGAGTGTTGAGGGTGGCGACGTAGCGCTGTTCGCTTTGGACAAGATCGCGGATGGCGTAGAAGTGCGCCGGGAGGGGCGCAGCGGGGCCGCCTCGCCGGCTGACCCCAGATTTGAGGGGAGCCCCGCCCGACGGCGCACCACCCGATATGGGAGGAGCGCCCCCGCCCCCCTGCAGGAGGGTGGGCCGATTGACGGGGCGTGCGGGGGTCGGAGGCTTAGCGCGCTGAGGCGGCGTCGTGGGAGGCTGCTGCATCTCTCAAAAGCAAGTCGACTCTCGAGTCCAACTTGAATCCTCTTCTTCTTCTCCTTGATCGCGAGAGGAACACCGATAAGGTTGGTTCGTGTGACGTTCAAGCTTCGAGCAACCACTTCAAAAAGAACGAAGTCGCCACGAGACGCCGCAGCTGCTAAATTAATAACCAATGTCGACAAACTGTGTCTTGCGCACAGGCGGTGGCGCTTTCACGAAGATGAAGGCTTGCATCAAAAGAGGTGACGCTTTCATGGTGGGGATGTGATTGATTACAGACCCTTGGGTCGCTTCAGCTGAACTACAAGCTAAACAGAAAAAAAGGCGAGGCACACAAATCCAATGGGGCAAGAGGCCTGCCTACACAGACGGAGGCCGACGAAAGAGACCGGGCTTAGAAGAGCTTGGTGGTGACGCTCTTGTGCTCCAGGTAGTTGGCAAGGGCCTCCTCGCCGAGCTCACGGCCCATGCCGCTCCTCTTGAAGCCACCGAAGGGCTGCGCGCTATCGTAGACGTTGAAGCCTTCAAGGTTGGACGAGCAAGGCGACGGTCAGCTTCTTGACGTGCAGTGCGCAGCACAAGCGAAGAAGAAGACAGCAGTTTAAACGTACAGTTGACCCACACGGTGCCGGCCCTGAGCTTGCTGGCGACGTAGTGAGCCTTGCCGACGTCCCTGGTCCAGACACCGGCGGCGAGACCGTAGACGGAGTCATTGGCACACTCGATGACCTCGTCGAGCTCGGAGTACTTCATGATCGACATCACGGGGCCGAAGATCTCCTCACGGGCGATGGTCATGTTGTCGGACACGTCGGCGAAGACAGTGGGGGCCACGAAGTAGCCCTTGTCGCCCACGCGGGCACCGCCGGCAGTCATGCTGGCGCCCTCCTTCTGGCCGATGTTGATGAAGTGCAGAATGCGCTCCATCTGCTCCTGCGAGACCTGGGGACCCTGCTCGGTCTCGGCGTGGAGAGGGTTGCCGACTCTCCTCTTCTTGGCGAGCTCAGTGCTCTTCTCAACGAACTCGTCGTACTGCTTCTTGTGCACGAACACACGCGAACCTGAATTTGAAAGAGGGAGTTTGTGGGTTAGAAGCGAGTGGCCCACGGGGCGTGGGGTGATGCGGCCAGCCAGTAGTACCAGCAGTGCACACTTGGCCGTGGTTGAAGAAGAGGCCAAAGTGGGCGCCAGCGATGGCCTCCTTGAGGTCAGCGTCGGGGAGAACGATGTTGGGGGACTTGCCGCCGAGCTCGAGCGTCACGCGCTTCAGGTTGCTGGCCGCCGAGGCAGCCAGGATCTTGTGGCCGACCTCAGTGGAGCCGGTGAAGGCCACCTTGTCCACCTGCAGATGTACCAGGAAAGTAGGTACTTGAGTTAGAGATCCCTCCTCAATGAAAAGGAGCTGCTACGGCTGAGCAAGAAAACGTACGAGGTTGTGCTTAGCAAGGAGGGCGCCAGCGTTGCCCTGACCGGGCAGAACGTTGACGACACCAGCAGGGTAGCCGGCCTCCCTGATGAGCTCAGCGAGCCTGAGGGCGGTCAGAGGGGTCTGCTCGGCGGGCTTCAGGATGCTCACGCAGCCAGTGGCCAGCACGGGGGCGAGCTTCCAGGCGGCCATCAGCAGAGGGAAGTTCCAGGGGACTAGCAGGGGAGGAGACATGAAGAGACAGTCAGTCAGCTAGGGATTCAGCACGCGCACGAGCGCCGGGTGGAGAAAGCGCACTGATCTGAGCGGCCACGCCAATCGGCTCCTTGCGGGTGTAAGTGAAGTAGTCGTTGGAGGCGGTGGGGATGGTCTTGCCCGAGATCTTGTCGGCCCAGCCGGCGTAGTAACGCAGGCACTGAATGGTAAGGCCCACGTCGGCCTGTGGCGAGCCGAGGGATCTGGGTGAGAACGAATAGCGCTGCATGCTCCCGTGCGTAAGGAAGAGAGAAAAGGCGAAACGTACGGCGTTGGCGATGTGGACGGGCTTACCGTTGTCCGCCGACTCGAGAGCGGCGAGCTCGTCCCTGTGCAGCTCGACCAGGTCGGCCAGACGGTTGAGCAGGTTGGAACGATCGTAGCAGGTGGCCTTCGACCAAGGACCCTTGTCGAACGCATGGCGGGCTGAGTTGTGGAGCGGGGGAGGGGTCAACACAAAGATTTCAAGCTGGGGCAGCTCCTTCACTGAATTCAGAAAAACATCCATACCCGATGCGACAGCACGCTCAACGTCGGCCTCGCCAGCTTCGTGAATGTCGGCCAGAACCTCCTCGTTGGTGGGGTTAACAGTCTGGAAGGTGCTTCCCGACGAAGAGCTCACCCACTCGTTGTCGATGAACAGCTTGGTGTGCTTGATCTTAGGCTGTGGTGGATCAAAATTCGATTCAGGGCGACGTCAGATTCAATTACTTGATTTACAAGATCACAAGGAGATAGTCAACGCACCAGGGTGGCAAGAGCCCTCGCAGCCGACAGGCCGTGCGCGGTAGTGCCCTACACCGAAGCAACAGTCAACGATCAGTCCAATGCATTTCTAATCTGCAGCAAAGGGGCAGCGAGGGCCATACAGCCACGCGAGACGAAGCCAAAGGAACAGTCCTGAGCATTATGAAACCTGGGTTGAGTTGAAGATGACGAGGGTGAGGTGCTCAGCGCCGTAGAACAGCTGTTGTTGTTGTGCGAAGAGGAACCTGGCCACGAGAAGCCGAGGCGCTTTTATGGGCCGGCAAATGAGGGTCCCTTTGTCTGGTTGGCGGGAAGTGCATCCGGGAAACTCGCATTTCTTTTTCGATTTTCTCCTTTTCTCTCTTTTCATCGGCGAGATAAAAGAACGACCGACGAACATGGAGAAGTGTGAGTTCGCGGGCAAGACGGTGATCGTGACGGGCTCGGGCGCCGGGCTGGGACGAGCCATCAGCAGGGCGTTTGCCCGTGAGGGAGCCAATGTGGTGGTCGTAGACCTTGACGCCGAAGCCGGTGCGCCCCACCTCTTTGCCCCCCGGCACTGAAGTGCTGACACTGACCGACGCTCAAACATGTCGCGTGCTACTGACGGGCAGGCCGCGAGAACGAGCAGTACATCAAGGAGCAGTTCGGTGCCCAGGTCCTCTTCGTGGAGGCGGACGTCAGCAAGGACGAAGACGTTAAGCGCTTGGTTGAGACGACTATCAGTACCTTTGGTAGGTTGCGGCGGGGCACCTTTCACGCCCCTCGGGGGGGACAGCTCTAACTTATCCCCCCACCCCCCAAACAGGTGGTGTGGACGTGCTGATCAACAACGCGGGGGTGAGCTGGTTCGGCTCGATGTTCGAGGATAACGCAGTGGACCTCTTTGACCGCGTGATGGCGATCAACGTTCGGTGAGTGCGCTCGTTTTGCTGCAGCAACCCAAGCGCCTCGCGGCTGTGAAAGCTGACTCGACACGACACACACCGGCTTCCAGGGGTCCCTACCTGTGCGCCAAGCACGTGGTCGAGCAGGCCATGAAGAAGAGCGGCAAGGGAGGCGCCATCGTCAACATCGCTTCCACCAGGTGCAGCTCTTCATCATAGCTTCCTGGAGCTCCGTGATGAGCCAGTCTGACACACACCTCTCACAACCGCGGCTGCAGGGCTCTTCAATCCGAGCCCAACACGGAGGCCTACTCGGCCAGCAAGGGCGCTGTGCTCGGTCTCACCCACTCCATGGCCGTGTCGCTCGGCGAGTTCGGCATTCGCGTCAACTCCATCTGGTGCGTGAAACCTACCCTGCTGCATGTCCGATCCATCGACCGCCTCTTTTCTGACTACTGTGGCCCCACGCTCCAGCCCGGGCTGGATCGAGGTTCGAGACTGGCAGAAGGCGGGCAAGGCCCAGCAGCCCACGCTCGACGAGACTGACCACAAGCAGGTCTTGTTCTTCTTCTTCTTCTTCGCCTTATGTTCATTGCAGTCTGGGCTGACTACACGAGACTCTCTACATAATCGCAGCATCCCGCTGGGCGAGTGGGACGGCCGGACGACATTGCGGAGGCGTGCCTCTTCTTGAGCGACAGCAGGAAGTCGGGCTTCATGACGGGCCAGAACATGGTGATCGACGGCGGCATGACCAAGAAGATGATCTACTCGCACGACTTCTCCTCCAAGGAGGAGTGGAAGAAGAAGGACTAGCTTCACAAAAGCGTTCTCTTCTCGTAGTACTTAGTTCATTCCGAAACGAAAGAGCTCTTCTTTACAGTTGCGACGTAGCCTTCTTCTTCTTCATCTTCTTCATCGCTCTCGACTTGTATGAAGTGATACGTACTACTCGCGAGTATGTGGTGCGCTTACTCCTCGGAGGCGGTGATGCCGGACTTGTAGGTATCCATCTCCTTCTCGTAGCGCTTCTTGTCCCCGGCGCTGAGGTCGATGTAGGGCTTCTTGCCCTCGTCGGACAGCTCCCTCCACATCGCGCCCAGGGCCTTGGCCACCTCGATGCCCTTCAGCTCCGGCTGCTTCTTGACCACCTCGGCTCTCGAAGCCGCACCTGGACGAGCACGAGCAAGACGATGAAGTAGAGGCTTAGCTGAAGTTCTTCTTCTACGACGACTTACGAAAGCGAGTAGCGCGACTACGAAAAGCGAAAAGGCCGCACGTACAGAAGTGGAGGTAGGAGGTCATGGGGCGCTTGGGCTCGTTGGCGTCCTTGACCTTCTTCTCGGCGCCCTTCTTGCTCTTGGTGGCCTTCTTCTCCTTCTTGCTCTTCGTCGCCTTCTTGCTCTTCGTGCCCTTCTTCTCCTTCTTGTCGGCCTTCTTCTTGTCCGTCTTCGCCTTCTTGTCGATCGTCTTCTTCGGCGGGGCCGGCTTCTTCACCACCTTCTTCGCAGCCGCAGCAGACTTCTTCTTGCCCTTCGCAGGAGCCGCAGCTGCCGGCGACGAGGGCGGCGTAGTGGTAGTAGTAGTGGTGGGCACGTCCTGGCTCATGGTCGGTACAGAAAGGAGTGGTCGGTTGGTAGGTAGTCGGCGGGGGTGAAGATGGTGAAGAAGAGGCGGGCGCGGCTGCTTTATGGGGAGGCGCGGGGAGCAACGCAGGCAAAGCCGCGCCTTCGCGCCTGTAGCCGGCGCTCTGCTCCTCTTCGCCATTCGTCGCCTCTGTGTTTTGGTCCAAAACAAAAAGAAAACTGATGAAATAAAAAAGAAAAGCAGACGTAGCGCCGGCAGCGCCGCTGTTGCTGTTGCGGCGGCCGGCGATGAGGGCTTCCTTGTGTCTGGTGAGCCTAAGGCCGAGACCTTGACGTTCCACTTGGAGTCGAGGAGGAGGTTGAGCGACTTGAGATCGCGGTGCACCCAACGAGCCAAGCCAAGGCCTCGCTAGAAGAGCACGACAGAACTGATACTTCAAATCGTCTATGCATACTGCTGTGGAAGGCACTCTAGCCACACCATTGATCAATTGTCGTTCTCCTCTTCATCATCAGACGACGCCGATTGTTGTACACTTCGCTTTGTCTCGACCTTTTCCACGAACCCTTCCGTAAGTTCAAACAGTTTCTGCGGAGGACACCACACACCAGGTCAGTAGCTCTATGGGTTAGAGCAGCCATCGAATGAGCAGGCGTGGATCTGCTACCTTCATGTGCTCGCTTTTGAGGTGGTTGTCGGCTGCTTCCTCGCTACGCCACTGCAGAGGGGACCAGGTTTGATAAACGCGGCGATGGCACTAGTTGCGGCGAGTTGGGCCAACGTACCCCCTCCGTGAAGCATACAATGGTGGGGTCGTCTTCATCCTGGAGCACGTTGAAGAACATGCAACCTGTCCGTCGCCCCAATGAGACCAAAGCGTTGTGCGGTTGCTTGGACGAAAGAAGTGAGGTGCAAACCTTCTTCCTGCCTGCTCAGGTCTCTGATCTTGAGCTCCTCGACGATATCCTCGAGCGCATCTGTCTTGTCTGCCTTCACATACAACTGCGAGACCTGTTGCCAGCAGAGGACGAAGAGCAGCGTTCCCCCCCCCGGGCCGAGTGAGCGGCAGTCCACCAAAATCGTGCACGTGTGCTTGCACTCACACAGTGCAAGTGAGCAGGTGCGAACCACAAAGACTGCTCTTGCGGCCTTGGAAGAAGCGGGCTGTTCCATCTTCTCGCCACTGCGCGTTCCGTGAGGTTGTCACCGGAGAAGAAAGGCGTGGGTAAGAAAAAAAAGCAAATCAAAGGAAAAACAATGTGGCGCCAAGCACGCTCCCTCTTCGCTGACTCCGCGCTCACGCGTTCCTTGCCCAGCCGCACGACACTCTTGCTACGCCCAACACTCAACACCACCCCCGTATCGTCAGCGTGCAGGCGCTTCGACCGTCTGCTAGCCACTGCCGCAATGGAGAAAGGTACTGGCACCGGTCAGCACTCCCCCCCCCCGCAACACGCCCTTCTTTACTCGAGCTGTCATAGACGAACACAACTTGCCTAGCAAGGCCAAGACAAGCGAGAAGAGGGTCGGCATGCACGTCAGCACTAAGTACGCACCCAACCCCAAACTGAAAACTTGGTTTGTGTCCCAGCACATGACTGACTGTCAGGGTCCGATGACAGAGGCGGGCTGCCGTGCATCTTTGAGCGTACAACTGAATTAGGCGGGAGTGCAGCCGCCTTCTTCTTGAAGAACCAGCGCACATGGAAGTATGCCACCCACCCCACCGACAGCATCCTTTGGAACTTTTCCGGCTGAGCAAGCAACGTTCAGACCACCCAAGCTGCCGGATGCCGAGGTAATCGAAGAGTTTGCACGACAGATGACCAAGCACGGCATCGATGCAAACTGCCTGCTTCCCCACGGCAACTATCTTGGTACAAGACTTGCCCTGTTCTGCTCCGCACGTTTATTTTACTGAGCGCTCGTTTGGCAGTCAACCTGTGCAATGGCGCTGAGGGTGAAGGCGAGTTGCTGGGTGCGTAGATTCGTTACGTATACTTGCCAGTATGCTGTGGAGTCCACTGATCATCTTCTCCAGCCAAGAGTAAGGAGTGCTTTCTCGACGAGATGAAGAGGTGTGAACTCTGGGCATCAAGATGCTCAACATCCACCCCGGATCCACCAAGGGGAAGATATCAATTGCGGAATCCTGCAAAGGTGCGTTGCTGCGCTTCACTTCGTCCCGATCTCAGCCACCCTTACATTTCTGTTATCAGTGATCGCCGACGCCATCAACGAGGCGCACAGCCAGGTGGCCGACGTTTCGGTGATCTTGGAGATCACAGCAGGTGGCGGCAACGCGGTTGGCAAGACTTTTGAAGAGCTGAAAATGATCATTGACGGCGTCACAAACACCGGTATGCATGCCCACACTGTTGGTTGTGACTGTAGCCCTGACCCGATCATCAAAACAGATCGCGTTGGGGTGTGCCTTGACACCTGCCACATGTTTGCAGCAGGCTACGATATCCGCACACAAGAGGCCTACGACGCCACCATGGCGCAGGTTCACTCCTTTTGTTCGTTTCTGTAGAGGTTCTTTGTTTAACCTGACTTTTGCTGCCCAGTTCGAGGAAGTGGTAGGCCTCAAGTACTTGAAGGCGATCCACTTGAACGACAGCAAGGCCGGCCTGGGCAGCAAGGTTGACAGACATGAAAACATTGGTAGGGCGTCTTTTAGCTGTTTTTTTTTGTTTTTTTCCCCCCAACCGAACTCGCCTGACGCCTTGCGCCCGAAACAGGCAAGGGATATGTGGGTCTCGAAGCGTTCAGGTGCCTCATGAACGACGACCGAATGAACGGCATACCCCTGGTCCTGGAGACGCCAGAGGTTCTCTTTGCCTACCGGACCTGGTGCTGACCATGTGAGCTTGGCGCTGACGGCTTAACGGCTTGCGCCTTACTTCACACCAGGGCTCGTACCGCGAAGAGGTCAAGCTGCTTTACAGCCTCGAGGGCAAGACGGAGCCCTATCCCCCAGCACCCGATGCTCCGGAGAAGGAAAAGAAGAAGCCCACCAAGAAGGCGACAGCAACCAAGCGCAAGAAGAAAGAATCTGAGAGCGAGGAAGACGAACAAAAGCCTAAGAGCCCCTCGGCGAAGAAGGCAACCCCTCGGCGCGCTAAGACAACGAACCCAAAGTCCGAATACGATGACGATGACGACTTCCAACCAATTCCCAAGAAGAGACGGCTCGCCAAGCGAACCAAGAAGCCTGCTGCGCGCGCCAAAGAAGAAGAGGAGGACAGCGACACATGACGTGCTCCGGAGTGCTACGAGCTTGATAAATTGACCGACACGCGGTTGGCGCCTTTCCAATTAGAAGCTTGTGTCAAATTGGCCGGTAATTTTTTCCTACAGGAGGCCTCATGGTCCGCCCCACGCTATGGTCGTACATCACAAAGGGAGGCAACATTCTTCGGTGCCCATGACCACAGGGTGTATAGCTCGTGGGTAGTGGTGGTACGGGCTGGTCAGGGCGGGCGAATTTCCCTTGCCTTCGCCCGATCTGGGTGTGTCGACAATAAGACCTGGCCAAACCGCGGCTTCCCAACCTCTGACCAACCGCTAACTCACGTACTCCGCCAAGCGCAACAGCACCGCAACCCCCCCCCCGTTCGCAGCGCTGCTCCATCAACATCTTAACGTTAGTTGGCCCTCATCAAGACAGGAGAACCGCCCGAAGCTGCAGGTCTTGCAAACTGCGCCGAGTAACGGCTCCACGAAAGTGGCCCTGTAAAAAAAAGGCGACCGACGCCCAGTATTCCTCAACTCGCCCGACATGGATACAACAAGGGCACGACTGCGGCCAGACGATGATGATGGCGCTGAGCCGGCAGAAGCCGAGGCGTCGGTGATGGCGGCGTCACCGGTGCCGGTGCGGTGTGGGTTCTGTCTAAGCGAAAGAGGCAAGAAGGACAAGTACCGCTCGTTGCACCCCAGCGTGCCGCAGAGCCTGTTGGAAGAAGACACACCGCCTCTCGTATGTACTCCGTGCTACAACTTCCTCTACGGCGAGTACGCCCGCAAGGTACTATCAATCGAACTACCAAAAAGATGAGATGATAATCATATCATCATCTGGAAATCTACTAAACCAATTATTTGATTGACTTCGCTACTGGCTACTCGCAGTGCGGAGACGACCGTGCGGCCTCTGACAGCGAGAGCGACGAAGAGACCGGCCAGAAGACGCTCGAACGTCGTTATCCCAACGCCCTTTCCGGTACTACCACCATCACCTCTCCTCACCTCGCCCAGTCGCTGCCTCCTCTGCATACAACGCCCGAGGCCCCAGCTTTACGCTGCGGCAGGGGCAGGGGCGCCTGACACCTTCCACGGGCCTACCCACCCTTGTATCGGTGGTACTGGGATCCCGATGGTGAAGCGCACAACCCAGAAAACGGCGCTGTGCGCGCAGGCGACTGGCGTGCTGCCCTTCATCTAAACGGCTCCAAGCACATGTTCGCAGTCCCGGGCGAGCCGGAAGATGACTGGCACCTTTTTTTTTTTTTGTTACCCAACCGAACTCGCCTGATTTGCACTCACGATCGGGCGTGCCATCCCTTTATCCCAGCCAACAACGGCCTGCCGCCCGCGAAGCGCCTCTACATGTTGTTGATGGCCAAACTGTTTACGAAGAGTGCCAAGCTACCATCGGTAACATCCCTCACCCATCATGGATTGTGAGCGTTTTTCTCTTCCGGACGAACTGACTTTACTCTCCTGTAGCTCTCCGTGGATTGTTTCTCCCTCAAGGGCATCCCCTACACAAGCGACCGGTCCTTTGCGTTTGACTCCAGCAAAGTCACCTTTGGGGTGCGGCTAGACGCCATGGGTGAGAACGCCCAGTCCTCCGTGGCCTCGGTGGAGGGACGCCTGCCATGGCTGACATCCTTGCTCACCAAGAACGGGGTCCAGCCTGACACAGGTAATGAGATGCAGATCACCCCATCTCACCAACCTGACTGACCTTCTCTTTTGCGACTGACGACACAGCCGATGTTGCTGTGCGCAAGCGTTCACGTCTGTCTTGGTGCAACCCCAAGAAACCCTGTGTCTACTGCCTCAACCATATCGACGCCGTGGCGTCCGGTCTATCTCGAGGTACTCCGGACGCGAATTGCTGTGTGCTCGTACCGCACGAGTGGCTCACCATCTTCCGTCCGCCACCACAGGCACGAGGAGGAAAAGCTGTCTTTGCATGCCTGCGAGTTGGAAGAGCATCGACGAGAAGACACGCTCGGAGGCCCGCGACGCTGCCTTCTCGGCACTCGAACGCAATGAGGTTTCTCCCCTTGGCCCGGCCCCGGGCCTTGACAGTGAGGAGGGCGCATCAACCCCGCCGCCGCAGTCGCCCACGCAGGAATCCAGCAAGACCAAGCGGCCTTGGCAGGAGAATCGCGGCGACAGCGACCGCGAGAGCGAGATGGCGCTGGAGGCGGTCAAGAAGGTCCACATCAAGAACGAGGCAGACGATGATGACATGGACCACCAGGCACGTGGAAAGGAGCAGCCAGACAGCTCCAGGGGGTCAAACGTCGTCGGCGTAAGTCGCCCAGCCAAGCGCCTCCGCTCATTGCTCCGAGGCGACCAGAAGCCGCGCGCCGTTGAAGAGAGCGCGGCTGCCACCGATGAGCGCTCGGACGCCGCCGAGCCCGACGAAGCGGACGGGGATGAAGCAGTGGAGAAGGCGACAACTGACGGCGGAAACGCGCCCGAGAGGAACGACGCGGAGGCACCACAAGGGAAACCGGCGAAGGTGGTGCGGAAGAGGCGGCGCGGGCTGTCGGCCGAGCTGCGGTCCCTGCAGCTGTGGAGCCACTGGGAGGAGGAAGAGGAAGAAGACAGCACCAACGATAACGAAAATGAGGAGAGCGATAACAAGAAAGAGGAGAGAAAGAGGAAGAAACACAAGGAGAACGAGAAGTGGGATGACGAAGAGGAAGAGGAGCAGCAGCAGCAGACCCGGCGGGGCAAGCTGCGCAGGTCGGCCAAGAGCAGCGACACGGAAGCCAAGAAGGACGAGCAGCAACGCCGAACGAGGTGGGCCAAGAGGGACTCTGAGTCGGAGGAGGCGGACGAGAAGCAGCTGCGGACAACGAGGCGGAAGGAGAAACAGGGAAAGGTGGACGAGAAAATGGCAAAGAAGGAAAGGGAAAAGGAAGAAGAGGAGAGGAAGGAGCGGCGAGAAAGCGAGCTGAGGAGGTCGTTGCGGTCGCGGGAGGAGCGGGAGAAGGCCAAGCTCGAACGAGAGGCCAAGCTGCGCGCCGAGGAGGCCAAGCGGAAATTGGAACAGGAGAAAAGAGAACAGGAGAAGAAGGAGAAGAAGAAGAGAGACCAGAAGAAGAACAAGACGAAGATCGAGGAGGAGAAAGAAGAGGAGGAGATGAGAAGAGAACGAAAGGAGGAGGAGAGACGTGGCAAGCGAAAGAAGAGTACGAGCCAGTTGAAAACGGCGACATCAACGAACTCGACAACAAGCAATGGACCGCCGAAGGAGGAGGACACTGCCGTCGCGGCCCTGCTGAGCCTTATCTCTGAGAATGCTGGTGCGTTGGCGGTCCCAGCTACTACGCACACCACAACCACACGCCCTTGGTTGGAGTGCAAACTAACGAGTCACGAAACCAGCTCCCAAGACACCCGCAGCGCTGCCCGCGTTGGATGAGGCGACAATGCAGAAGCTCTCTGCTTCGATGAGCAGCCGACCGAGCCTGGCCACCTCCGCACAGTTCGAAGAGATAGTACTCGATGACGATGAAGACGACGACAACGCTGACGACAGGCACCGTCCCAGGAAGGCGGCCAGGCCGGGCAACGTGGCTGCGGTCGCTGATCCCCACCAGACCCACCTGCCCAGCCTGGCCAGCCTTTTTCTGGGCAGTTCCCTGCGGCAAGCGTCGATCGCTGGCGTCCCTGCGCCCCCACCGTCCCTCCCGCACGTACCCCTCCCGCCATCACCCAGCGGGCTGCGTGCGGCCTCGAGCACTGTTGCCGCAAAGCCGCCAAGTCAAGCCCGGGCCTCTCCACGCCCCTCCACCCCGCCCACGCCCACGCCCACGCCCGCCTCTGCCCCGACCACTCAATCCGCGGCCCACTATGCGGGCGTCGGTCAAGCCCTGCCACCTGCGCCGCCTGGCTTTCCCTACGCGACCGCAGTCGCCAACGCAGCGCGCGCGATGACGCCCGAGCACGCCTACGCGGCGCAGCTGACCGCCGCACACATGGCGCATCTCAACCCGCAGCTGCTCCTCCAGCTCCTCCAGCAGTCGCTCCACTTCCCGTCGGGCAGTCAGGCGGCTGCCGCGCACGCCGCCCAGGCCCTGATGTACGCCCCACTCCTCAACCTCCCACCGGGCGCAGCCGCCCAGTTCCGTCCGTCGACCACCAGCTACCCGTCGGCGCCACCCGCTCCACCAGCCGCCACACGAACACACCAGGCAGCGCCGCCACGGACATGGCCTCCGTCCAACCACCATAAGTGAGCCACCTAATAATAAAGATATTGCATAGAAAGCCACATCTTATGAAGTACCCAACAGTGTAGCGAGTCGAGGAGACACTCCAGTTGCCGGTGAAGGTGGCGGCGCGACGTCGCTTTCTGTGTCCACGCGTTTTTGGTGGCGCCTGATTGGCTGGCCGTAAATTAGGGTTAAAATATAAATCAGAAAGCGAAGCAGCCGACAACGGCACACAAAGAAGACAAGATGGTGGAACAGTTGAGCGAGGAGCAGATTGCTGAGTTCAAGGAGGCCTTCTCCCTCTTCGACCGCGATGGCGACGGCAAGATCACGTCCAAGGAGCTGGGCACCGTCATGAGGTCCCTCGGCGCCAACCCTACAGGTAACTTCACACTTGAGGAGACAGACAGCTTCATCTCTCAGCCATTCTGCTTCCTCGCCCTGTCTCCAACAACGCTGCCCCTCACGCATCACATGATGCTGCATGCTAATGTGCTTCATTATTGCAGAGGCTGAGCTGAAGGAGATGATCAAGGAGATCGATACCGACAACAACGGCACCATCGACTTCCCCGAGTTCCTCACCATGATGGCCAGGAAGCTGCAGGATTCGGAGG